TACAGACTCAGAATATCTTTTGCCGAAGTTTAAACGCTGGCACAAAATCGGGTACGTTGAAGACACTGTTTGACGTGTCTGCTTCTCTGATCCAAATCCTTAAGGATGAGCATTCATCAAAACTGACCGACTGAGTAGTGCAGCCTAGACTGGGTTCGAACGGTGAACACCGAAAAACCATAACCAAATGTTTAAATCGAAAATTATCCGAACTATGTGTATTGGGTGATCAGCTAACCCAGAACCGAAACTATCGTTAACGTTGAAGTCTAGAACATCCATCGCAAAATGTTGCCTGAATTTCTACTTTAGGCAGCTTTGATTTTGATGAACAGTGATGTACTCTTTGTAGCTAGCAGTCACATATTTCGGAATTGTTTTCAACACCAGTTATTTACAACTGGATTCATACGGAGATCTCGCTAGATATGCTTTGATACTATGAAATTAGGTCTAAAATCTCTTAGCTTAGAATCATATCAAAGTATTGTAGGTGATAACAAGACATCAGTGGGTACAACTTTCTCTGCTCTATGTTGTCGCTGGTTTACGGCTTTCAAAGCAGACAGTTGTAGAGATACTTGGTCCAATTATCATCCCAGCCAGACTTTTCTGCGTTCTTCCTTTGATTTCTTCTGAAAGTTTGGCTCAAATCTGCTGTGTTGTTTTTTTTTTGTATATTGGAAGTCTTCGCTTAAGAGTTCTTTGCTGTTCGTACTTACTGTGTTTTCAACTTACGTTGATATGAGCATATAATGATTTTACTTACCACATTTTACGATTCGTGGTATCATAATATTTTTCGTTATCACTTCTCACAGCTATCCATTCCTTTATTTCTAAAAATCCTTCCAGCTTCCCTGGTTGTTGGTCGATAGCTAGACGTCATGTTGAATTGCTGGTATCATTGGACAAATTCAGCAGTGACTGTTGGAGGTGATTAGCATGAAAATTTCAACTTTACAGTGGCCACCTAATATGTAAGTTCGTAGTTGTATGGTAGTTGTATTTCTGACTGCATTGCAGACGATCTCATGCTCAATATTTAATTCGTTGCCTCTTCGACAACCCATTTTAAGTAATTCGAACATAGAATTAAATCTTGCCTCTCCTACAGTGGTCTTTTGTTTCTTCACCTGTTTCCAGCTTCATGCTATTTGCCACGGTACCAAAAATGCAGTGGTCATGATTGGTTATGTACATTATAATTAGTGAAACAGAATTCAGCTCTTTGAATTCCTTGAACGGCTAATGTTGGCCAATATAATGTTAAGTGTAAAAATCTGGTCGCTAGTTTTCTGTGTGCCTCTCCAAAATTGTACGATTTTTGTGATTTTCTCCTTAGAGTTCGTTCATGATCAAGGATTATTAATTTTTTATTTGTATGAAAATTTTCATCC